GTGGGCCAACATTGGCTGCTTCCAACAGCCCGCCTGTCCCACTCACGTCACTGAAGTCCTCTGCCCCAGCTGTCCTTGTCACCAGGGCAAACACCTCCCGCCTCCGCTCAGCCAAGAGGAGGGGATGTGGATTTCCCCTTTCTTCTTCCCCAGGCTGGCATAGGCAGCCACTCCCATCCGACAGCACTGAACGAAGGCTCGGCCGTGCCACAGATAATGGGCCAGATCCCATGCCTGGCCTCACCCCTCTTCCCCTTAACCGCGGCACACAGGCGGGTGGGATAGCTCATCCTAGGAACCCCCACCACCCAACCCTCTTGTCACTTCATCTTCTCCATTTCCTCCTCCTCCTCTTCCATCTGTGCAGGGGTTTGCATCTCTCCTCTTCCTCCCCCCCATCTGCACACCCTTCCCTTTCTCCCGGCGCATCAATAGCGAGCTGTCTTTCTCCTCTCTTCCCCAGGGTAATGAGTACTCCCTCCCAGCTCTGACCCCTGGTCTCGATGAAGTCAAATCAAGTCTATCCACCTCTGCTAACCCAGACCTGGGGACAAATGTGTCAGGACCCCAGACGTACCCTGTGGTGACCGGTAAGCTGCCTGACCAAACAGCAGAACCAAGCTTTTTATTTATTTCCCTCATCACCATTAGCTTCTGCTTTTTCTGCTAATGCAAGATATCCCTCTGTGGCAAACATAAAAAGAGACAGAAAGACTGTGGAGGACGTAGAGGCTCAAGAGAAGCTTGAAATCAGAATATTGGCAGTTTCGGGTACCTAGGGGTGCCCAGGTGTGACTCAAAGACAGGCAAACCCAGGTGTGAATTGGGAACTTGCGTGCCCTGATGGGGCTTAGGGATGAATGTTGGTGGAGGACAGGCATATCCAAATACACACTGTGATTTCTTTCCTTTGTATCTGAGAACAAGAGGGTCATGGCTTTCCCAAGATCTGCACTTGGTTTTCTCGGGGAGAAATAATCATTTAAGTTTTTATTCAGCCCTGGCATTTGGAAGGGGCACTTGCAAACTAAATAGTGAGTTCTCCTGAACTGCGATGGCTAAACTCCCTCTTCCTTAAGCCCAGGAGTCTAACAGCAGTGGCAAATGAAGTTTGTTCATAGCCTTTCCCCTTCCCTCACGTGGGGGCTCTTTAAACTCAGGTGTGGCTGGGAGAGTAGGAAATGAGAGCAAGTGCAAGACAGCAGAGCAGTGGGATGCACAGAAGGAGGAGGCAATTTCTGCAGCAGCTGCTCCACAGAAACCTCCTCTTCGCTGGTGGCACAGGGTGGTCCTGGGGTCACGGGCCACGCCACCCTGCTACTAGGGTTAGACTGCCTGTCCTGTGCGTGTCAGGAACCATAAGGAGGTACTCTGGTGCCATAGTCCTTCTTCTCAGGCTTTAGCTGCCACTGCTCCCTGCTCACACAACTACCACAGATTTGCACATGTCCTGGGCAGCTAGAGCAGCTGGCAAGGCCCAAGAGATTCACCCCTGTTTAGCATATCCCAAAAAAACTGCTGTGGCCCCTCCAGAAACCTCGCAGTGTAAGTTGAGAAATAACTCAGGTCAAAGAGGTATAAATCCTGTTAGCAAAGGAAGGAGCTGCTGCCTCTTGGCCAAAAAGCCGGCCTCTGATGGCACAGAATCAAGAGCACCCGAGTTTGTATCTCAGTGTTTTCTTGCAGAATGGCCCCTGAGGTCAAAGCAGCTCAAGGCTGAGGCAGGCAGTCATTGCTTGGTCAGCAAACACTGAGCAAAGGCATATCACTACATGCAGCTTTTGGCTACTAGGAACTCTGGGACTGGTCAAGACTAGTAACAGTTACCCCAAATACAGAGGAGATCCAGCGTGAGGTCTGCAAAATGTCATGGAGAACCACGTGAGGCAAACTGCATATTTAGGGAGTGTCTAGAAAGCGTGACATCCCCGACCTTTTTTCATGGCTTTTACTGCTATCAGGCTTGATCCAGGACCCTTGTAGCCATGCAGTTTCTTAGCCAACCAGAAGAAAATGGCTCAGCTGTGGCAAAATTTTTCCATCTTTCTTTGTATTTGCATATGCAACACAAAACTCAGCTGGTGTCCATCAACCAGTTAGCAGATGTACATCCCTTAGAGGAAATACTTTCCTGTCTTTTGGGGGGAAAAGCCAGTAAGAGAGCAATAGAGTCCTTCCTTCATGGAAGGCAGACCCCCATAGCAGGATGTAAAGGTGAGGAGCCTAAAATCAGAGTTTAAGATTCAAAGGGTCCATTAAAACAATTCTATTTAGTCCTTCTGCCTAAGTGAAGATGGTGAATTCCAGCCCATTAAAAATAGAGCAGAATTCCCGAAGGCTGGGGGCACTGCACAAGATTTGGACATGACTCTCACAAGAGGACAGCAGGAGACAAATTTGGCCTCACAGAGGAGGCTGTGGGCTGAGGCAGAATGTCTTCCTCATGTCCCCCCAACCCTGTGCCATCCCCACTCTGTTCCCTGCAATGCTCCCACCTCAGCTGAAGAACATCCCCATCTGATCCATCTGGATCCAAGAGTGAGAAAAGTTCATTTCAGACCCAGCTTGACATTCCCAGGTGGCAACTTAGCACTAACATCTCAATCTGTATGCGACATTTCAATCAGCACGGAGTAACAAAAGCAGAACTATTAGCGTTGGGAGCTGTTCACTGGTGGTAATGATGGGGAAACTCAAAATGAAAAGGGAAAAAACACCCTCAACACCCTGAAAGGCAGCAGGGGAAGAGGGGTGGAGAATTTTTTCTCTACACTTAGGCCAGGATCCAATGTTTGGATTAATGGTACCATTACCCAAGAAAGGACTTCAGATAATGCTCATTCTTAAAATGTTTTTGCTGGCAATTAAATGGTTGCAGTTATTGATCTTCATTGATCTGATGTCCTCAATTTGCATAATCTATTAAAGATGAATGATTCATGATATGTTTGCTATGGGGCTGGGCAATGCTTTCAGGAAGGAGCAGAGAGGTGAAGAACTCAGTGCTGCTTCCTGATCTACCCCAGCCAGGAAATTAAGAAAGAGGCTGGGATCCTTCTCCCAAGAAGGGATATTGCAGTAGCAGCGAGCACTGAATTGCTGGCTGCCTGTTTTGCTGCTATACTGTCATCTTTGAAATGCCTCGTTGCTCTGTCCCAGAGCAGTCTGTGAACCCAGGTGACATCTGAAACAAATGTGAAACAAATCCACCCATGCAGGGTACAAACTCTGCGTGCAGTCATTTCAAGATGCAAGATGTAGCTTCAGTCTGCAAGAAAGTCTCCCCAGCTCAGTCTTCCCGGGCAGAAAAAAGTATCACTACCTCTGTCCAAACCAAAGCTGTTTGGCATTAGATTCTTACCCTTTCTGAAGACTTTGGAGGAAGCCCTTCTTATCTCTCTGGTTCATGACTAGCTTGCCTCAGCAAGTTTGCTCAGCTCACACCATTCGGAGAATAGACTCCTCCAAAAGTCATCAAAACCTCAACAATATGTAACTACCTAAAATCTTGGAATGTTGTGAGGTAGTGTCATCATTTAACCCAGCCAACAGCTAAGCACCACCCAGCCGCTTGCTTGCTGCCCTCATGGCAGGATGAGGGAGGGAATCGGAAGGGTGAAAGTGAGAATACTCGTGGGTTGTGATGAAGACAGTTTAATCTGTAAAGCAAAAGCCAAGCAAAGCAAACCAAGGAATTCCTTCACTACTTCCCATCGGCAGGCAGGTGTTCAGCCATCTCCAGGAAAGCAGGGCTCCATCATGCGTAATGGTTACTTGGGAACGCAGATGCCATCACTCCGAATGTCCCCTCCCTCCCTTCTTCCCCCAGCTCTATATGCTGAGCATGACTTGGTCAGCTGTGCCAGCTGTGTTCCCTCCCAACTTCTTGTGCTCCCCCCACAGCCTACTCGCTGATGGGGTGGTGTGAGGAGCAGAAAAGGCCTTGACTCTGTGTAAGCACTGCTAAGCAGTAACTAAAACATCACTGTGTTATCAAGTCTGTTTTCAGCACAAATCCAAAACCTCACACTAGTCACTGTGTAGAAAATTAACTCTATCCCAGTCAAAATCAGCACAGATAGTTAAGGACAGATGTTGCTGAAGTCCCTTTATCTGTCTGTGGGCTTCTTCGAATTGAAGAGCTAGAAATGCCACAAAACAGGCAGCCGCCTCCCCAGCGTGCAGGAAGGCCTTCCCCAAAGTCCTGGGAATCTATTCAAAGACACTGCTTAGCACCACAGTTACATACAGCACACCCTTGCCTAGTACTGCCAATATCAAACACTGCCTTTCAGACAATTATTCTATCCAACGTATCTTGGATGGTCCATTTATTACTCACATCTCCTAAAGCAAGCAAACAAAAACTATGGAGCAGACAGGTCCCTGTTATTTCTCCCCATTAAGTATCTGCAAGGAATTTCCATGAATGAGCTGACAGGGGCTAGCTGGACACTAGGCTAGGAAACATGCTCCTGCTGTCCTTCACATAGAACTGACAAAGCAGAAATTTTCAGCTTCCTTGTGAAGTATGAGAGAGAGAAAGCTCTTAAGAGCTGCCTGAGAACACCACCTCACCTCTTCCTTCACATGCAGGCCAGTGAGCCAGCTACATCTTGCCTCAGTGTTGCATGGCCATCATAGCTAGATTGGCGTAGATCCCTGACAGTTTCTTGGACAGTGTCTTTGGACACTTGGACACCAATCAGATTTCCTAGAAGGAAAGATCCAAGCTTGAGCATACCAAGATAAGGCGAGTACATACAGTTGAACACCAAGACAAGAATTCTGTTGTTCAGAGATGTTCTACTTCAATTATTTCTGTTGAAGGCAGGCAGCCCAGGAAGCTGAGTATAAACCTGTACAGGGCTAAGGAAACACAGAAAACCTCAATAGCTTGCTTTCATTCAGTAGTTTCCACAGGTCTTTGATTTTGGAAGGTACTCAGTAGCTAAGACCCAAGGGTGAGCGGAAGAGAACCTCAAGATTTTGGTACTAGCAACAGAAGTATTTTAAAAGCACAAGGTTGGATCCTTTGAGAACAAAGGTTAAGATCCTTCTTTAAGTGCCATCAGAAGTCACACCTTTTGGAATACGCATGCATGAAAGTAGTGCTATGTCTTCAAACTAGGTTCTGAGTTCTGGGGACTTAGATTAATAGTTTGGGAGCAGACACTTTTCCAGTTGGTCTCTGGAATTATCTAGCCCAGAAGGTACCCAGCAGAGAGGCAGCACTATGGGATTTAAAACACAATGGACTTTCATGTATGGCTTGAAACTTATTAACAGACTACTAAAGGGGAGGATTTAGCTAGTAGATGGATCGTAAAATTAGAGCAAAGGTAAAGAAGAACTTCCCTTAATTCAATCCCAGCCGTTTTAACTAAATAGACCTTGTTTGCTAGCCCACTAGAGTCAGTAAAATCTACAAAGAAGAGTAAAGGTAAAAGACAAGCCTGAGAAAAACAGGGCAAGAAAAGTACTTCAGCAACTTCTACTTTTGGCTGACATGGCAGTGTGTGTTCCCTTCTCTTCCTGTGAGGAGGTTTCTGAGTGCTTCTGTGCAATGGTTAGCACCTACTAACAGGAA